CTCGCTGGCACCTGACCAAAATGACCAATGAGGAGACCAGATACTTTCAAAGCTGGAGGGGGGGGGGGAAACAAAGGGCTCTCTCTGTCTGTTTGATGCTTTTGCTGGGACCAGAGCAGGAATGCAGGTCAGAACTCCTGAGCTGTGGCTCACGAAAGCTCATGCTCAAATAAATTGGTTAGTCTCTAAGGTGCCACAAGTACTCCTTTTCTTTTTGCGAATACAGACTAACACGGCTGTTCCTCTGAAACCTGTAAAGAGTTAGTAAGCAATCTAGTTAGATATGCGTTAGATTCTGTTTTGTTTAAATGGCTGATAAAATAAGTTGTGCTGAATGGAATATATATTCCCGTTTTTGTATCTTTTTGTAACTTAAGGTTTTGCCTAGAGGGATTCTCTATGTTTTGAATCTGATTACCCTGTAAGGTATTTACCATCCTGATTTTACAGAGGTGATTCTTTTACTTTTTTTCTTCAATTAAAGTTCTTCTTTTAAGAACCTGATTGCTTTTTCATTGTTCTTAAGATCCAAGGGTTTGGGTTTGTGTTCACCTATGCAAATTGGTGAGGATTTTTATCAAGCCTTCCCCAGGAAAGGGGGTGTAGTGCTCGGGAGGATATTTTGCGGGGGAGACGTTTCCAAGTGGGCACTTCCCCTGTTCTTTGTGTAACACTTTAGTGGTGGCAGCTTTTAACCTAAGCTGCAAAGAATAAGCTTAGGGGGTCTTTCATGGAGGTCCCCACATCTGTACCCTAGAGTTCAGAGTGGGGAAGGAACCTTGACAGGATGTTTAAATTTTTCAGCCAGGCAGAAACTGAGTAACTAAAAAGGGGAACAGTGAAACAGACTGTAATGGCACACAGTGCGGTCAATAAATGCTCTAAGTAAACCAGCTCAACAAAATATTGTTTTCCCACTAATATTTCAGTTTTAGTGATCTCAGCTGTTATTTGTAACTATAGTAGGTATACATGTTTTAGCCATTGTGTGATTTTTTTTTTAAGTTGCCTTTAGAATTGCAATAGCCCACCGAGAACTTGAAGTAAATTTACAGCACCATTTGATCAGCCCTTTAAAAAAAAAATAAGAGTGGAGAGATAATAGAAAGAGTCACATCTTTTAAATGGAAAAACACAATCCAGTTGTCTCAGACAGTGCACCATACAGACCTGGGTTCTATTCCTGCCTCTGCCATAGACCTGACGGGTGACCTCAGAGAGTCATAAATTCCAAGGCCAGAAGGGAACATTGTGACCATGTGGTCTGTCCCCTCGTGCAACACAGGCAACAGAACTTCTCCAGAATAACTCCTAGAGCAGATCTTTTAGAAAAACATCCAATTGTGATTTAAAAATGGTCAGTGATGGAGAACCCACCATGACCCTTGGAAAATTGTTCCAATGGTTAATTATTCTCCCTGTTAAACATTTACGCCTTGATTCCAGTCTGCATTTGTTTAGCTTCTACTTCCAGCCATTAGATTATGTTATACCTTTCTCTGCTAGATTGACGTGCCCATTATTAAATATTTGTTCCCCATGTAAATACTTATGGACCTTGTGCAAGTCATTTAATCTTTCTGGTCCTGATCCTACAAATACACACGTGCTTAACTTGACCGCCATGAGTAGTCCCTTTGAAATGAATGGAGCTACTCATGTAGTAAAGTTAAGCACATTGGTGTTTGCAGAATCAGGGCATCTGTACCTCTGTGTCTCTTCCCACCTATTGTCTTTGTCTATTTAGATTACACAGATCTTCAGCAGAGGGACTCTCAGTATTGCCAACTCACAGGATATTATCATGAGTCTTGCAATATTTTTTCTCTAAGCCCTGTTTTCCAGAATCTTGTGATTTAAGTGAGAATCTTAGCTTTCATTTTAAAATAAGTACATTTCTGGCTCTCATGATTGTAGAAAGAAACCTTGAAAATGTGAACCCGAAAGGCTCAGAAACCAGGAGAGGAAGAGAGAGAGAGAGAGACCCCAAACAGCCCAACGTTTGTTGTTGTTGTTATGCTCAGAGGTCCCCATAACAGCTTGTGGCACCTTAGAGACTAAAAAATTTATTTGAGTATAAGCTTTCGTGAGCTACAGCTGTAGTTTACGAAAGCTTATACTCAAATAAATTGGTTAGTCTCTAAGGTGCCACAAATACTCGTTTTCTTTTTGCGAATACAGACTAACACGGCTGCTCCTCGGAAACCTGTCATAACAGCTTGGGTCACGAAACTCTTTGATAACTGGTGTGGCTGGATGTACCCTTCAATTAAGAAAATTATCAGGATTAATAACAAACCCTGTACCTCAGACAAAAAGGGTTTGTGAACCTGCCTGGAATTTTGGATTGGGTCGGTGGAACAGTTTTGCTGAGGGATGTGTATGCAGGCAGAACACACAGAACAGAAAGAGAGGCAAAGATAAAAAGCAAGTAAATCAAGTGGCAGCCTATAAGCATGGTGTGACCCTAGAAAAATCTAGAGAAAGAGCTTTTGGGTCTATTGTCTAAAGAGGCTTGGGCCTATAAACTAAGAAACTGCTCCTTTTTTAATTCTTTGTTCCTCCTGTGTTCAGAGACTCAGGACTTTGTATGTTTCTTGTAAATAAACAAGACTGCATCAGAGAGAAAATGCCAGACTCCATCAATTTCTACTTCCAACTGGAACATCCCCAGGGCCCCAAACTTAGACTGGCCAATCGGGTCAAAAAGAGGCAAGCTTATGTTAAAATCTCATGGTTTTTAAGCCAGTCTCATGAATTTTGGGGTCCTGGTTCATATTTATTTTAACACTTTGGGCTGGTGATATTGGTCACTTACTATGTATTTGTACAGTGCCTAGAATAATGGAACCCAGTCTTGGCTGGAATCTCTAGACTCTACTGTAATAAAAATATTGAAGTACTGACATGTTAAGATGGCAGTAAGGTTAAACTAGCTTTAGTCTTGTGCACTTGTCTTGACTGATTGGATTGTTTGGCTGTAACTAAACCACTTACAGTACTTCTAGTGAGAGAACCTTTGCCACAAGCAATAAGGGTAATTTCCTGGTCAGTAGGGTAAGTCAAAATGTTATTTTTTTTAGCGTTAAATAAATGGCAGTGCCTTCTATTCTTTTTCCAAGCCTTCGAAATAAGTTGATTACACAAGTGCTATTAAGACAACTTGTTTAATTTCTCACACTCTATTGTGCAATCTGGCAGTACCAATTATAGCTTGGAGACTTCTTGAATTGTTTATGAAGATTTTGCATTGCTAAGCAATCGCTTAATAAAATCAAAGTTCCTAGGCTGAAGAAAAATATTTTATTTGGAGAATAATAGGACAGATGCCACACAGATACTTGTGAGTCGTGCAGAGACAATAAGCATGTAATCAGAGTGTTTCCTCAATAGAAGATATGTTACAAAATACATTGTAATGGATATGTTTTATTTAGTCAGGCTCTAGTCACTGGTTTTATGAGTGTGATTGACATGGGAATTCAACATCCTTTAAGACAGCAGTTACTTTATTATTTCCATTTCTCTGACTAGGTATGACATAAAGTCACCTGGATTGCAGAATTTAAGAACTGCCATGATTCAAGGGTTAAATGGTCACACACCTACTGTTAGCAACAACACAGAGAAGCAAATACCACTTGATAGAGGGAAAAATTAGGAACAATCCGTATCTCCAAACTAGGGTCTTTAGTGTAGTCTCTGCATATTTTTCCTTCACCAGAACCTGCCCTACTCTACCTTCGTTCTGCTAACTCTCTGCTTTTCTAACTTCGAGAAGGTTCCCAGCCTGCTTTGCTCTTAAAGGCATACCATCCCATCACAAACTTTATACTCTCTTCTCCCTTGTTCCACAAATCTGACTTGACAATGTTAGGTATCAGTTTAATACATATTATTGATTAGTTTAAGATGCTGATTTTCACCTGTAAAGCCCTAAGTGGCTTAGGACCAACCAGGGAGATCACTTCTCTTCCTGTGTGATACAGCTGCACTTGGTACAGGTGTGAGAGGAGGCTGCTATCTGTCTAGGTACTTTATCTCGCCCTTATCACCATGTTATGGGATCATTAATGGGTTTTATCCTCACAGGACCCTGTGAGTAGAGAAGTACTGTCTCCATTTTACAGATGGGCACTGAGGCACAGGGTTGATTAAATGACCTGCGCTAGCTCACACAGGAAGCCTGTGGATGAGCCAGGAATTGAATCCAGGTCTCTTGAGTCACAATCCACTGCTCTATCTTCTAGAGAATCTTCCTATCCAGGGCATTCTCTGTGCGCCCCCCTTGGCTTTGGAACCTACTTCCCTTCTTGGTCTGAGAGAGCCAGAATCCAGTGACTTTCAAAGGATGCAGCAGTGCTCCTCTTTCTTCTGAGCATTTGCCAATGGAGAAGAATGACACAGGTGGTTAGTAGTTAGAGAGGGAGGACTGTTCTAAAATGTCTGGATATATGGAATGGAAATGTTCCATTTCCATGGAAGGAAAGACTGTGCATAATGGAAGGATTTTTTTAAATATTTGTATTAGGGCTGTTGATTAATCGATTAATTAAAAAAGTTTACTGCAATTTAAAAAATTAATCGTGACTAATCGCACTGTTAAATAATAGAATACCAGTTGAAATTTATTAAATATTTGTGGATGTTTTTCTACATTTTCAAATATATTGATTTCTATTACAACACAGATACAAAGTATACAGTGCTCACTTTACATTATTATTTTAGATTTCAAATATTTGCACTGTAAAAATGATAAAAGAAATAATATTTTTCAATTCACCTCATACAGGTACTGTAGTTCAATCTCTTTATCCTGAAAGTTGAAGTTACAAATGTAGATTATTATTTTTTGTTACATAACTGCACTGAAAAACAAAACAATGTAAAAATTTAGTGCCTACAAGTCCACTCAGTCCTTCTTGTTCAGAAAATCGCTCAGACAGAAAAGTTTGTTTACATTAACGGAGGTACTGATGACTGCTTCTTATTTACAGTGTCACCTGAAAGTGAGAACAGGCGTTTGCATGGAGCTTTTGTAGCCGGAGTTGCAAGGTATTTATGAGCCACATATGCTAAACATTCATATGCCCCTTCATGCTTTGGCCACTGTTTCAGAGGACATGCTTTCATGCTGCTGATGCTTGTTAAAAAAAATGCGTTAATTAAATTTGTGACTGAACTCCTTGGGGGAGAATTGTATGTCTCCTTTTCTGTTTTACCCACTTTCTGCCATATATTTCATGTTATAGCAGTCTTGGATGATGACCCAACACATGTTTGTTTTAAGAACACTTTCACAGCAGTTTTGACAAAACTCAAAGAGGGTCCCTATGTGAGATTTCTGTGGATAGATACAGGACTCAACCCAAGGTTAAAGAATCTGAAGTGCCTTCCAAAATCTGAGAGGGATGAGGTGTGGAGGATGCTTTCAGAAGTCTTAAAAGAGCAACACTTGGATGCTGAAACTATAGAACCTAAACCACTAAAAAAAATCAACCTTCCCTGGTGGCATCTGACTCAAATGATGAACATGCTTCGGTCCGCTCTGCTTTGGGTTGTTATTGAGTAGAACCTGTCATCAGAGGATGCATGTCAACGAGAATGGCAGTTTAAGAACAAAGGGACATATGAATGTTATGAATCATCTGGCAAGTAAATATCTTGTGATGCCAGCTACAACGGTGCCATGCAAAAGCCTGTTCTCACTTTCAGGTGACGCTGTAAATAAGAAGAAGTCAGCAGTACCTCCTATAAATGTAAACAAACTTGTTTGTCTGAGCAATTGTCTGAACAAGAAGTAGGAATGAATGGACTTGTAGGCACTAAAGTTTTACATTGTTTTGTTTCATTTTTGAATGCAGTTATTTTTTGTACAAAATTCTACATTTGTAAGTTCAATTTCATGATAAAGAGATTGCACTACAGTATTTGTATTAGGTGAATTGAAATATACTATTTAGTTTTTTGCAGTGCAAATATTTGTAATAAAAATAAATATAAAGTGAGCAATGTACACTTTGTATTCTGTGTTGTAATAGAAATCAATATATTTGAAAATGTAGAAAACATCCAAAAATATTTAAATAAATTATATTCTATTATTGTTTAACAGTGCGATTAATCATGATTAATTTTTTTAATTTTCTTGACAGCCCTAATTTGTATTATAAATTATACTGAGGGTGCCTAAGAGGAAATTGGTACACACTCCTATTCATTCTAAATAAATCAAATTAGGATGTGATGTCACCATCACCAGCCCCAAGCATTAGTGTGAATTGGTGTTGTGTTAGTCCATCCAGAGGTGATTATGCAGTATAGTGTTAGTTTTGTTTGGCCTGAAGCAGGTGGCACAATGATAATCAGCTTGACGGGAAATGCTACTCTCTGCTGTCAAGATACTACCATTGACTGGAAAGGTCATTAGGGCACCTGACAGGAAACAGTGCAGGGGAAATGTCAATTTTAAATTCAATTAAAATGAAGTCTAGGAAGAGGTGGAAAGAGCAGATTAAAGATAACACTGAGAGAAAATCCACTGACTATGTTTTAGCTCTCAGGTATGGTTTGTGTTGAAGGTACAATCTGGGATTGGTTTGTGACCAACATAGTAACGAGCACAATTTTAATGCAATGCAATGGCTAATACATTTGTCTCCGAGAGCTGGTTTTATAAAATGGGGAAGAGGCACAAGAAGTCCTTGATGTGGTCAATAAAAATGGAATCAGTTCACTAGTAGTTTTAGAATGATTGTTAATTAGAACTAACTTACTTAAGCTGGAATTGAGTGGGTTAGGGGAGAACCTACACGCATACCTAGGACCATCATGGCCATAAGTAGAGGAAGAGGGAGACAAAGTGGCTGCCCTTCTTTGGGGTCTGATTCACCAAGGCGCTTGTGGATGTCCCTAACTTTAAGGATGTGAGTATCCCCAGCGAAGTCAATGGGATTACTCACATGCTTAAGAACTTTGCTGGATGAGGGCCTTTGAGCTTATTTTCTTATTGACTGTGCAAGCTGAAGAAGTATACTATGTAATGCAACTTTTCCTGTTTAAGATGAGAAAGACCAGCTCTAAAGCAAAGTGACAGGTACAGTGTTTTACTTCTGAGTATTCATTAATAATACTCAGTGTTTGCACCTAGCAGACATGAAACTAATTAACCAAGAAAAGAGTTGTCATTAGGTTCTTTGGCCTATGATATGCAGATCAGACTAGATGACCAAAATGGCCCCTTTTGGCCTTAAAAGTCTATGGATTCTATAAATTTCATTCATCAGTTATCTTTGTTTTTGAAAAAAGGCACAGATAACTTTAGATCTGTTCTTATGGAGAGAGTTCCGTTTGGTTTTCCCATATAATTATAGTTACTGCACAGCGGCAGATAGCAATTTTGAGTTTTGCTGTTTTTCCAGAAAGCGTGGGGGGGTCACAAAAGGTATGGTAAGTGGAAGATTTAAATATGTCAGGGTGCCTTAAAAATCAGGAATCTAACAAATAAGGCTGTATATATCAACATGAGCATGGAGAGGGCTTTTAAAATGTTACTCCATCATATGGGGTTATGGTAATTGTGTGGGACTGGGAATTGCCGGAACTCCATGACGAAGGCCCATGTGGTGCCACGGTTCTCCACAAACTCAGTCTATATCTGGTTTCAGAGTAACAGCCGTGTTAGTCTGTATTCGCAAAAAGAAAAGGAGTACTTGTGGCACCTTAGAGACTAACCAATTTATTTGAGCATGAGTTTTCGTGAGCTACAGCTCACTTCATCGGATGCATACCGTGGAAACTGCAGCAGACATTATATACACACAGAGATCATGAAACAATACCTCCTCCCACCCCACTGTCCTTTGGATGAGCTATTACCAGCAGGAGAGTGAGTTTGTGTGTGTGTTTTTTGGAGGGGGGTGAGAGGGTGAGAGAACCTGGATTTGTGCAGGAAATGGCCCACCTTGATTATCATGCACATTGTGAAGAGAGTTGTCACTTTGGATGGGCTATTACCAGCAGGAGAGTGAGTTTGTGTGTGGGGGGCTGGAGGGTGAGAAAACCTGGATTTGTGCTGGAAATGGCCCAACTTGATGATCACTTTAGATAAGCTATTACCAGCAGGACAGTGGGGTGGGAGGAGGTATTGTTTCATATTCTCTGTGTGTATATAAAGTCTGCTGCAGTTTCCACGGTATGCATCCGATGAAGTGAGCTGTAGCTCACGAAAGCTCATGCTCAAATAAATTGGTTAGTCTCTAAGGTGCCACAAGGACTCCTTTTCTTTTAGTCTATATCTGTTGTTCCATGAGCTCCCATGATGCAACAAATCTGGCTTTTTAATGTCTCCAAGAATCATTTGTGACACCGAAGCAACACAAGATCTGGCCATCGCACCAAAACTTATTTCCTGGATGGCCAGAATACTGGAAAGCAAAATCTTGTGATTTTTGGTCCCCAAAATGGATCCTTTTGTGTTTGAAAAAGCCTGTGGAAAAATGTTCAATATTTGACATTCCTACGTTTCTTTATCCAAGGTTATGTGAATAATAGTGTTTGTGGCTTTATTCAGATATCTGCAGGATTCAAATACACAGTTGTAGCTCACGAAAGCTTATGCTCAAATAAGGAATGCATCCGACGAAGTGAGCTGTAGCTCACGAAAGCTTATGCTCAAATAAATTTGTTAGTCTCTAAGGTGCCACAAGTACTCCTTTTCTTTTTAGTCTTAATGAAGAGTGTATTCCTGAAGCAGAAATGCTACGAGTGTTGTCAGTGACACTTCTGAGCCCTTTTATGGCTAGGGATGTGCTTGTTAAAGCTATATATCTAAAGCAGCCAACACCGGAAGAAAGCTGTTTGATCTCACTCCACTGACTTGCAGGGTGATTATATTGCACCTGGCCATTCAGCCAAGCCTCTCTCCCACAGCCCTTGGGAGATGTTCCCTCTCACCAATTGTCTGAGGCCTTGGAAAGCAAAAAAGATGACTCAGTAAAATAAATTGGTTAGTCTCTAAGGTGCCACAAGTACTCCTTTTCTTTTTGCGAATACAGACTAACACGGCTGTTCCTCTGAAACCTGTCAGTAAATACCTTCTCTAGATGCTTATCCAGCCAGGATCAAACAGTGAAAAAAGTAAAGCCAAAGGAAAAAGGCATAAGAGCCAGCTTCAGCTGTAATCACCCTGTGAGCCTCTCCCTCCTCATTTATAGGAGCATTCATGAGGAAGCTTCAGATCAGACTGAGAGCTGATCTTATCAAGTGAAATTCTGAAATCTGTATTCAGAGTCCCTTGCCTCCTCCTGACTTTGGTCCATTTTTAGCTTTAGGGTAATGCACTGCTTGTATGATTATTACACAAAATGTTCTGCCAGCAGAAAGGATCAAGAGTAGGTGGGTCCTTTACATTTGTTATCTAATTCTTTTGAATATTAGAGGCTCTTTAAAAAGCCTTTTTCATTTGTGCGCCTGGGCTTTACATTTTATACTGGAACTGAAATAACATGTGCAAAAGCTATATGGATAGGTGGTGGAACTAGGGCTGCTGCGGGTGCTGCCGCACAGCCGGGCTTGAAGTGGATTCCATTATAAACAGGGTTTACAGTTTAGTTCAGTGGCTCTCAGCACCCCTCAAAATTGTACCAGCACCCCGGCTATATGACCCACATCCCCACACAGAGGGTGAAATTTTGGCAATGTTTAAATCAGTGGCAAAACTCCCATTGACTTCAGTAGGGCCAGGATTTTATCTGTATTATCCTCATTACCGGAAATCTTGATGCCCTCCCAATGCTACATGAGTGGCCAGCTAGACTTCTAATCTACTATTTTCCTCCTTGTCTATAACAACCATAGTATCGGAAGGGGCTGAGGCTGGCTGAATGTATCACCTTCACTGCTGTTCTGCCCAGTTCCCCCGTGTTTCCCTTCTGCTATTTTTAAAAGTGTATTCCATTGAAGTCACTAGAGCAGTTATACAAAATCAGGTTTTACTGCTGGCAGAGGAGGTTCATGTCTGCTAGATCAGGCTCTGGGTTCTAGAGGGTCAGACCTGGGGATTGAAAACAGCTACAAGAGTCAAAGCCGGAGGTAGAGTCAGGACTGGACCAACGGCAGTGCTGAAAGCTGGGTCCAGGGCCAGGCTCTGGGTCAGAGCCTGGGTCATAAGAACATAAGAATGGCCAAACTGGGTCAAACCGGTGGTCCATCTAGCCCAATATCCTGTCTTCTGACAGTGCCCAGTGCCAGATGCTTCACAGGGAATGAATAGGAGAAGGCAAAAGTCAGGTGATCTAGTCTCTGTCATCCAGTTCCAGCATTTAGCAGTCAGAAACTTAGGGACATCCAGAGCATGGGGCTGGCTAATAGCCACTGATGGATCTGTCCTCTATGAATTTATCTAATTTTTTTTTAATCCAGTTATAGTTTTGGCCCATTCCCTTGGCAATGAGTTCCACAGTTTGACTGTGCTTTGTGTGGAAAAAATACTTCCTTTTGTTTGTTTTAAACCTGCTGCCTATTAGAGTCAGAGTCTGGAGACAAGTCAAATGAGGACTGGAGTTGGAGTCTGGATGCAGGCCAAAGGTCAAAGCTGGGTTGGAGACCATCCAAAGGCCTGGGGGTCAGGAGGCGAGTGCAGGCCTGGAGCAGCTCAGGAACGGGGCTGGAACAAGGCTGAAGGGGGCTACAGCAAGGTTGGGGCAGGAACAGAGACAGGATGGAGGCCAGGCTGGAAGCCTAGGGAGTCTGTAATATCACAATGCAGCAGGAGGGTTCCTAGTTGAGTGGTGCTGTGGCAGCTTTGACAGTGAGAGTGAAATACCTGTCCCTGGGGATCACCTGCAGTACTGCCAACTTCATGAGATCAAAAATCATGAGTCGGACCCCTACAAACCATGAGATTGGCACAAAAATCACAAGATTTTTTTTTTTTAAAGATTGTATTATGTTTCTTTAGGTCAGTGTCTTGATTTTTAACTCCCCCTGCCCATCCCATGGGT